AACCTGCGATTCCAGCTAGAGGAAGCACACGACACGACATTCTTCCAAGTGCGGGGAGAAGAGCTTTGCGCGGAGAGCCGCAAGGGCACACGCCCAGGCAACGGCCTGGCCGACCTCATCTTCAACATCAGCTTCGCGCACGCTCTGGGCCCACTGGAGCAGGAGCTACATGCAGGAGGGTACCTACTACAACTACCACCAGCGGGCGAACAAGCCATTGTCACGTCAGGCCAGCTCCAAGGGCTGGAAGGGACCCTGCCAGAAGTATCCTTCATGGACGATGCGACATTCCTGTGCGTACTTAACGACAACACGAAAATCGAGAGCAGCATCTTCGACATATTGTCCATTATTGCAAGGAGACTCAAGATCTTCGGGCATGACCTACACCCCAAGAAGACTAAAGCGTTGCTGCATATCGATGGGCACGCCAAGCAGCATATCAAGGCGAAGATTTTCAAGACAAATCCCATCACGCTGCGGCGCGAGGATGGCCAACCGCCAACTAGCACTGAAGTGTCAACGGCGGAGGTCACGACCCAGGGACTCACATTGGGCAACATCGTGACGAGTGATGGTGGGGAGGGGCCGAACCTTATGAGACGCATCATAGACCACAGATCCGCAGAGGGCCCCTTGAAGAAGTCCATCTTCCGCCTACCGCACATCGACCTCAAGGCCAAGCTGCTGTATCTCACGGCGCTGGCGCAAAGCAAGCTGACCTACGACTGCGAAGTGTGGGGGCCACTTACAGTACAGCAGAAGCAGATGCTGCAGAGCAGACACATGGCGAGTCTGCGGGCCGCCGCAAGACAACAGCGACACAGCACGGGACATGCACATACCTTGGATGACGAAATATACTTGCTGTGCGACGAAGTACCGATCCACATGTACCTGCGCCGACGGCGCCTGATGTACCTGGCCAGGATGGCGCATGCAGACACGCCTTTCCTCCACCGCCTCATCGATGAACTCTGGGAGGATGAGAAGGCCTGGAACGCTCTTATCGTCGAAGATCTGGACTGGATAAGAAGTTTCCTACTAGACGACGAGGACATCGGCAGCGACATCAGGGGATTGCTGCGATGGCTACGCACACAGCAAGTGCGAGCCGCACAAGCCACGATCACCCGTGCGTGGCTCAGGTACAAAGCATGGCAGCACGACATATATCGACATCGAGTTTGGCAAAGGCAGCTACACCGTCTTGCGCAAGAGTTTGGAATGACCACGCCCAACTTCGAGGGGCTGCCGCCCGCACAGCACTGTGGCTACATATGCTATGAGTGTGGCAAGATATTAAAAACTCGGGGAGCATGGAAGCGCCATCGCACCATGGAACACATCGGCTACGACCTTCCCGAATTGCTTGCCCGTTCGACTACCTGCCCTGGGTGCGGGAAGAACTTCATAACGAGATCCCGCATACTCAAGCACCTGAGAAGGTGCCCCAAGTGCCTGGCGGTCCTCCAAGCCATCGAGGTCCCAATGGATTTGCAGGAGGCAGCCGAACGCCGAGAAGAAGAACGAGAAGCTGTGGCGGCGAGGAAGGCAATGGGGCATGGAGCTACAAAGGCGCTGGTGCCCGCCCAACAGGTCATACAGCTCAAGCTGGCCGACTACATAGAGCAGCACCAGCTCCAACTCTCGCCGGCCCCGCCTGCGGCAGCGGACGTCCAAACAGCGACACCACCTGCAATCGTATTCTCACCGTGCAGGCCCATGGTTACCACGGCTATGTTCTTGCTGCACCTTTTCTCGGGCAGACGTCGAATCGAGGATTTCCAGTACCACTTCGAGATGAACATACGGGAATGCAACTTGGTAGTACTATCGATCGACGTGCAGATAGACCCCGTCAAAGGAGACCTGACGAAGCCAGACGTCGTCGACTTTTGGTGCGCAGCGATACGACAGGGCAAAATATTTGGTATTGTGGCAGGCCCGCCCTGCGAGACGTGGTGCTCATCGCGCTGGCATGCCGCCGAGGGGAAGGCACCTCGACCACTACGTACACATGAAGCCCCCTGGGGCATACAAGCAGCTAGCCAAGTGGAGCATCAACAGATCGCACTAGCCAACGAGCTATACAGGACAGCTTTACTACTCATCACCACGGGCCTGCAGTGCAACGTCTCAGCCGTACTCGAGCATCCCGCCCCAGCCACATGGTGCCCCCAAGCGCCCAGCAGCTGGCAGCGAGCAGAGACGCTCTGGCTCCTGGAGCAGACGGGCGTCGAACTGCACTACATAGACCAGTGCCAGTTCGGGCAGGACGCGAGAAAACCAACATGTCTGATGGCGGCACACCTCGGTGAACTCGCACAGGAGCTAAGGGCGGTACCTGGGGGGCAGCTATGCAGACATGCGGGACATGCCGGAGTTTACGGACGAGACGGCCAAGGCGGCTGGAGGACCGCCCCCCTCAAAGAGTATCCATCAAGGCTGTGTAAGGCAATGGCTACCGCCTTCGCAGCCCACTGGGGGCAGCTTGCTGACGCAGAGGCAATGTGGGCCGAAACGGACGACTGCTACCACAGGTTCTACGCCCCCTTGGATTACTACATGGAGACAGACCAGATCGGCCATGATTGTCACAGGGCATGGGGCAAACATCGGCGCTAGCATTGGCACCGCGGCGGCTTATTTGGTGCAGCCAGGCGAGTCAAGCGTCCAGTATTATATACTTTTGCCCCGCAAGGGAACACTGGTCTGCAATTTGGCGCAGACCACCGACTTGCTACAGATCTGATGGCAGCTGGCATTACAATATTTTATACAGAGTATTCCAGATTGGCTGCAGAAGTCTCAGCGCACCTACGGCATGGCCCAAGCCCTGTTGCTAACGGGTTACTGGTACGGATGCGACCTGGACAACGATTGCGTGCCATCTCGAGGGGGGGGGACCCGTAGCGCCCATACGGGTGGGCACGATCCCTCAATGGCGACGGAGCGTGCCCCCCCCTCGAGCACTTGCTGGATTTATCGACTTTCCTAACATTGGCATTGTTTACTATGATCATCTGGCCCTGGGCAGGCATTACGGCGTGCTGCCTAAGTCCTGAGGAAGCCCCGAATGCGTGGGAAGACCTCAGGCAGCGGCGCCAACCTTGGTTATAGTTAGAACGCAAGACCTGGGGAAGCCCCGAATGCGAGGGAACACCCCAGGCACAAGTCGCCACGTTTTGATGTGTACCGCGGCGGCTCCTGGAGATCTACAGTATGGATGGCGCCAGCTGGCTGGCAGCGGGCGGCCCATTGGCCGTCAGCGTACCACCGACCGACATCGACAGCATACCCAACACGATCCCCTACAACTCCTTTCAAGTCAACGCTGTCCTGGTGAGGATCAAACTTCGAGACGGGCTCGAAGGGCTGGGGGGGAAGGACGAGTACTTCCCGCGCCCGCCAGCGGGGATGGTGAGGGGCAGGGGGGGGGGTAGGACGGCCACTACCCGCGCCCCCGCGGTCCGCCCTAGCTCGCCACCCCCACCATTCCCATGGAGAAGGAGGAGCTACCCGATCGCCCGAGGGCGAAGCTGGACAGCCGAGACACACCACTCCGACGACAAGTACCAGGCCTGGGGTTCGCCCCCACCGAGGGCACCGTGACCCCTAGCCATAGCGGGACGAGGTGGGACAGTAACGACCCCCACTTGAAGTCGGTGCATGGAGGCCTTGGGAGCCCACCACCAACACAACACCAGCAACAGCCCGATCCCCAACGACCTCGCCAACTCGCTCCACATCTGCACGCAGCCCCATACAACGACATCTATAACATCCGAGATCAGTACCCTCCTGCAGCTCAAAAGCACGGGGACATGACCTACGGCCCTCGCGTGGCAGGCGAGGAGAGTGCTGCAGAGCCGCTGAATCCAGAGGCTCGGCAGGCCTCCACAGCGCTGAGCGCCGAAGGGTGGAGGCCGCCGCAGAGAAGGCGGCCATCCACCTGATGACCTGGCGGCTGGGCTCAGCGCGAGGCGCCGAAGGGAGCCCAGCCGCCGTACATGAGACCGACCGCTAGGCGAGGAGAGTGCTGCAGAGCCGCTGAAGTCAGAGGCTCGGCGGACTCCACAGCGCTGAGCGCCGAAGGGTGGAGGCCGCCGCAGAGAAGGAAGCCATCCACCTGATGACGTGGCGGCTGGGCTCAGCGCGAGGCGCCGAAGGGAGCCCAGCCGCCGCACAAGAGGCCGACCGCCCACAAAGAGGCCGAGGCCAGGACAGCGCTGCAGAGCCGCTGAAGTCAGAGGCTCGGCGGGCTTCCACAGCGCTGAGCGCCGAAGGGTGGAGGCCGCCGCAGAGAAGGCGGCCAGCCACCTGATGACCTGGCGGCTGGGCTCAGCGCGAGGCGCCGAAGGGAGCCCAGCCGCCACACAACAGGCCGACCGCCCACAAAGAGGCCGAGGCCTGGCTGCGGGCCGAGCTGGCTGAGCTGGCACGGGCGCGCGCGGCGCCTGCCGAGGGCCCAGATGGGCCCTCATCTTTTTGTTTTACTGAAACCCGGCCCCTCTCTCCCTTCTCTATGATTTACTGGTCCCAGGCTCCCTGTTTCCCTCGGGGCCGGGTTCCCGGGGCCGCAGTCTGAGCGCCCGCACGGCCCTGGTGGGCCGCTGCAGAGCGCTCCGCGCCCGCGGGGCGCGCGACAAGACGCTGCATAGCGAGAAACGCAGAAACGCAGGAGGAGGAGGAGGGAGGAGGAGGAGGAGGAGGAGGAGGAGGAGGAGGAGGAGGAGGAGGAGGAGAGAAGGAGGAGGAGGAGGAGGAGGAGGAGGAGGAGGAGGAGGAGGAGGAGGAGGAGGAGGAGGAGGGGTCGCCTAAGCCCTTCGGAGACACCCTCCAGTGGGGCTTGGGGGGAAGGCCTCTTAGAAGGAGGCTGCTTCCTCAGAAGGCGCCGGCCCTCCATCCATGGGCAAGGCCCGCGCCTTCCAAGAGGCAGGGGTGCTTCCAAGAAGCCTTCCCCCTTCCCCCCTGCCCCCTCCGCGCGTGGCCGAGTCCTCCGAGGCCACCACGTGGGCCCGCCGCTCCTCGAGGAGCCAGGGCCCCCACCCCAGCGTCCGGTTGGCGGCGCCGCCCTCCGCGGCGCCCGGCGCGCCGCCCGCGCCCGCGGCCTCGTCGAGGAGGTCGTCAAACCTTGGATGGCAGCTCAGGGGGGCTCACATACCATCTTGTTGGCTCCTGCGAGCCGCCGCTCATCGGCGCTACCCGACGCCAAGCGACGCGCCGCCTCGACGCGCTGCATCTCTCGTCGATTGCCAGACGCTGATCGGCGCCCACGCACTCCACAGACGGAGCTGCGAGGTGCACAGGGCTCCCATGGCTTGCTTCCAGTCGGGCCTCTCCCCCTCTACGGGCAGATCTGGCACGAAGAGTCAAACATACCAGCAGAAATGCCTTAAAAATGCCCCAAAATGGTCAACAAGTGCCCCAGAAATGCCCTAAAAATGACCAGAAAATGCCCTAAAAAAGCACCACAAATGCCCTAAAAATGCTCTAAAAATGCCCGACGCGAGGCTTGCTGCCGAACGGACCAGCCCAGCAGCGCCGCGCCCTGCAGCGGCTCCGGCGGGCCCTCGAGCCACCGGCCGACCAGCCGCTGGAGGTCCGGCAGGTCGCCGGGGGCGGCGGGGCCCTCGCCCGAGGCGGCGTGCTCCGCCTCGGCCATGGCCACGACGCCCTCGAGGGCCACCTCGTGCCGTCGCTCGGACGTCCATTCCCCGTGCGCTTGTCGGTCTCGTGCGTGTTTTTGTTGCTCGACGGTCCAGGGTGGTCCTCGATGGCTCTCGCCGAGAAAAAGCGCACACGTCCGAGCGATGCCAAGACCTGGGCGTCCATGAAGAAGGAATCCGCCACCGCGCTTGCAGCGGTTGGCGTGCGCCGGGCCCGTGCGCCTTTTGCGGAGCAGTAGCTGTAGGGCCCCCCGACGCAGTGAGCCCAAGGTGCGTTCATCTGTGTGGCCAAGTCTCTGCGTTTTGGGCCTTCCAGGCAGGAAAATGGTCCCAAATACAGAGCTTGCGGAAGGGAGGTCCGTGGAACCTCCCCCCTCCCCCCCCAAGGCTCCCCCCCCGCCCGCCCGAGCGCGGTGGCGGAATCGCGCGGCAGCGCAAGTGGATCGCAGTCCATCCACATCACCCAGTCGTACCTGCCAGAGGCCAGCGCGGCAAGCACCGCGTCCACCTTCGACCACGCCGGGGGCCGATGAGAGGCCGGCTCCGTGAGCAGGGGCGACAGCGGGTCGCTGAAGACCGGCGCCCTCTCGTGGATAATAGTCACGTAGCCGTGCATGTTGGCATACTCTTCCTTGTTGATCTGCGACAGACGTGCCAGTGGCGTGACCCCGGGGTCATAGTCGCAAACGCTGACTATGGCGATGCGGAGCGGCTGCGCCGTACTCCTCCAGCCGGGCCCCAGCTTCTGAGAGAGCGCGGCGCTGGTCGGCGCGCCCCTCCAGGGGTCCACCTGCAGCTCGTGCTGCTTGAGATAAGCCATCGATGAGAGGATACCCTCCATGTTTTCCATCCAGTTGATAGGCCAAGGGCTCTGGTCAATGTACTCGTTTCCCTTCATCTGGTAGTCAAAGGAGCCGAAGATGGCTCCCAGCTGCCGCAGCCGCGCGGCCACTCGAGGCAGTCCCAGCTGATCGCCGCACTGCGCACCAACGCCCAGCACCGAGCTCACGGCCGTGGCGCAATCGAAGGCGACGTGGGGGTCCGTCACGACGGGCAGCAAGAGCTCCGCCGACCTCTGCAGCGCGGGCGCGAACTCGCGAGCGTTGAAGAGGCCCGCCACCTCCCCGAGGCCCGCGTGGAAGGCGGTCCAGCGCTGGTCGCCGCAGCGGTCCCTGCCCAGCCACCTCTAGGGGGACAAGAACGAGGCACCGGCATCGCTGATCCCTGGATCTCGTTCCCGGGGTGCGCTCTGCCCAGAACTTCGAGAATAATCCGTCCGTGGCGACGAGGGTCTCCCAGGAGGCAGGTTAAGCGTAGCGATTCCCTCAGATCTGATGTTGCCAGCAAAATTCAACTTCGCAGACAATCACCACCAGAAGCTCGGGCCTCGTTTTCTGCGTCATCTTTCGAGGCAGATGAACCTGTGAGGGTCCTGGAACCCGAGACCGGGCAAAAACGCCAGTTGTGAAACATATGCAAAAATTGCAACGCCAGGACCTCGGTACCTCCTCCTCCCCTGCACCTCTGCAGCCCCGGGGGCGCGGACTCCGGCGTGAACTCCGCCTGCGCGGCCGCCGCCGCCGCCGTCGTCGGCGGCGTCGTCGCCGTCGTCGTCGTCGTCGCCGCCGCCGCCGTCGGCGTCGTCGTCGTCGTCGTCGGCATCGTCGTGAGCTCCGCCTGCGCGGCCGCCGCGCGCAGGCCGTGGAGGAGCACCGCCGCCCGCGCGAGCACCGCGGGCGGCGCACGGCGGGCCGCTGGGACCTCCTGGCGCGGCGGGCGGGCGGAGGCTGGGCGGCCCGTGGCCCCCTTGCGCCTCGCCCGCGGGCCCCGCGCCCGCGCCGCGCGCGCCCCCATTGGCGCACTGCGCCCTTCGGAGGGCGCCGGCTACGTCACTGCACCGACCTTGCGGACGTGCTGCAGCGGATTGTTGCGTAGATTTCTGTCGATGCAAGACCCCCAGGCGGCGAGCGACAAAAGAAGTGGACGTCACGCAGATCTGTTGTAGCCTTCATTCCTGGCCAAAAAGAAACCCGCGCGGAATCCGCTTCGAAAATCCAGAGCGACATTCCCCAGGACACTCTGGGCCCATCCCCTTGGTCTACGAACGAAATCCGCTCTGCGATGTTGGCGCCATGAGGCTACGGACAAGAACTCTTGGACAGCGTGTCGCGGCGGCGGCTCCGGCGGCACTCTTGTGCCGTGCGCGCGGGAAGCGTGCCGCTCCGCTGCGCGGGGCGGGGGGCTCGAGGACGCTCGGGTCGTCGACGATGTGGGGCTGGGAAGCGGAGGGCGCGTCGCTCCGGAGTGTGGTGGGCCAGAACCGGCGGAGCGGCACGCTATTCAAGAGTTGCCGACCGCATGCTTTGGGACCCTGGAGGCCCCAGCCGCCCTCGGAGAACGACCCAAGCCCCAGAACCGCGAGGTGACCCCGAATCCCCACTGACTCACCGCACGGTGTGGTCACCACACCATCTTCGGGGGCGTCCAAGAGCGGGGCGTCCAAGAGGGGGGGTGCAAATCATGGCCAGCGGCATGATCGCGGCACAGGGATGGGCCCGGGACGTGTTGAAATAAGAAGAGGCGCCATGAAATCTGGGGAGATCTCATGACCCCCGCCATGATATCACCCCCCCTAGCCCCTAGTCGTCCCCCTCTTCTTGGCCGCCCCCGACGTCTGGAGGGCCTCCCGAGGGCGGCGTGCACCGATCCTGTGCCCGGGATGCGGCTGGCCAGGCGTACAGTAGGGGCCCGACCACGGGAAACCCTCCACAAGAAACCCAACCCCGAGACCCCAGGACGTCCGTCCATTTCTGGTGCGGGAGCGCCACGCTTTCCGCAGCAGAACCCCCTCGAGAGCCGAGGAACCCCGGGCACCCCCGAGGCGAGCGGGGTGCTTCCTGGCCTGAGCCGCCGCTGTGGGGCTGGCGCCCTCCGAGCCCGGCCCGCGCGCCCTGCCCAGCCCTGGGCCGACGAGGGGCCCGTGAGCCGAGGCGGCTGCGGAGGGAGGGGGCGGCGGCGAGACGCGGCGCGCGGGGGCCTTCCCCGGCGGAGGGGGGGGGGAGCCCCCGAGCCCGAGCCGCCGGGCCACCGAGCCCGAGCCACGTGCCTCCTCCCTTCCCCCCCTCCCTTCCCCCCCTCCCTCCCTCCCTCCCTCCCTCCCTCCCTCCCTCCTCCTCTTTTGCCTACGCGGGCCGCCGCGCAGCGGCTGGCCGGTCGGGGGCCGAGGGCCGGTCTCCTCCTCCGCCTCCGCCTCCGCCTCCGCCTCCGCCTCCGCCTCCGCCTCCTCCTCCTCCTCCTCCTCCTCCTCCTCCTCCTCCTCCTCCTCCTCCTCCTCCCCCTCTTTCTCCCCTCCTCTCCTCCTCCTTCCTCCTCCTCCTCCTCCTCCTCCTCCTCCTCCTCCTTCTCCTCCTCCTCTTCCTCCTCCTGGGTGCAGAGGCAAGGGCACAAGGGTACACTAGATGAAGGCGCGCGTCCTTACTGGGCGTGTTGACTGTATCTTCGCGCTTCCGCGCTCCGCGAAGCGCGATAATCTTTGCGCTTTCGCGCCGTCCCCCCCCCAGGCCTCAAAGCGTGAAACGCGACCAACTTCGCACCCTCGTGGTGGCCCTAGACCCCCTATCCTCACTCTCAACCTTCCACACCTGTCGACCAGCAGGTGGCTGATCTAGTGATCTTCTCGAGGTATGGACAACTGCAGAAACACAAACTTCCAGAGCTCCGCGCGGGTTTCTTGGATCTGCGCTTGACCCCTTAACCTGGCGTGCAGAGCGCGCCAGGCTCGGCGCCGGAGGCGCCATCAGGGGGGATCAGCGCAGATCCAAGAAATCCGCGCAGAGCTTCGAACATGTATGTACTTGCAGTCTATTGCCACTCGAGACAATCACGAAATCAGCCACCTGCTGGGTGGAAGGTGGAGAGTCGGGGAGACGGGTGACACCCTCTGGACTGCCCCATCTTCGACGCACCCGACGACCTGAGAAGAACGAGATGGGGGGATCAGCTCAAGGGGCGGAGGGGGGGCGGAGGGACATCGAGTTCGGAGCGGCGATGCATCGCCGCAGGTCGGCAATAGGCCTCCGACAGCGAAACCGCACGTTCCTGGGCGGATCAAGCCACTGGCCCCCCCCTCTCGGCGATCAGTGTGCAACATGGGGCTGGTGCGCCTTCCCCCAGGCCGCTGCCCACGAGGAGGGGGATGAGACTGAGGATGAGAATGAGGATGAGGAGGAGCAGGCGGAGGAGGAGGAAGAGGAAGAGAAGGAGGAGGAGGAGGAGGAGGAGGAGGAGGAGGAGGAGGAGGAGGAGGAGGAGGAGAAGGAGGAGGCGGATGAGGAGGAGGAGGCGGATGAGGAGAAGAAGGAGAAGGAGAACAAGGAGGAGGAGGAGGAAGAGGAGGAGGAGAAGGAGTGACCGGCTTGCGCCTGCGGCGCGGCCTGCGGAGGCAAAAGATGATGATGAGGAGGATGATGATGAGGAGGAAGAGGATGAGGATGAGGATGAGGATGAGGAGGATGAGGACGAGGACGCGGATGAGGATGCGGATGAGGATGCGGATGAGGAGGAGGAGGAGGAGAAGGAGGAGGAGGAATCACGCAACAGGTTCTGACCTAATGCTACTCTAACGTTAAAACAGGAAGAGGAGGAGGAGGAGGACGACGAGGAGGGGGAGGAGGAGGAGGAGGAGGAGGAGGAGGAGGAGGAGGAGGAGGAGGAAGAGGTGGAGGCGGAGAAGGGGCAGGGGCAGGAGCGGGGGGGAAGGAGGAAGCACAAGGGGGAGGGGGAGAGGCCCCCCCCCCCAAGGCGGCGAGGCTCGGCGGCCGCCTCTCTCGCCCCCGCCGCCCCCCGCTGGGCCCCCGCGGGGGGCGGGGTGGGTGGGCAGGGAACCGCCCTTGCCGGCGCAGGGCGGGGGGGGGAAGTCCTGCACCCTCGCCTGCTGGTCTATCTGGTTCACCCGCCGAGCCCCCCCCCGGCCAGGGGCCACGCGAAGGAAGAGGACGTCGTGGGGCGTCGGTCGCCGACGCCGCTGCTCCTGCTCCTGCTCCTGCTCCTGCTGGAGCATTGGCAGCTGTTCCAGTTTCTGTTTCTCCTGCGCCTCATGCTCCTGCTCCTGCTCCTGCTCCTACTCCTGCTCCTCCTCCTCCTCCTCCATCATCCCCCATTCTTTTTCCTCGTGAATGAATTCTCCCTGTCGCACCCCAAGGCAATTTTTTTGGGCGGGCCGGGCGTTTCGTCTGAGACTTCCGCACCACGTATGACCTTGAAACTGAAAAATTAACCACAGTTTCACAGTTGGAGGGCGGGTCGTTTTCAAAGCGTGGCCCGCACCTTAGCGCATCGCGCTTTCGTTGTAAACGATTGCGAAACCTTCACGGATGGAGGGCGGGCCATTTTCAAAATGTGGCTCTCGCCTTAACGCCGCGTGCATGCGTTAAACATTGCAAAATATTCACGGATTGAAAGCGGCTCTTTTTCAAAATGTGGCTCTCGCCTCACCGCTGCGCGCATTCGTTTCTTTATTTGTTTCTTAAGCAAATTAATTAATCATCTAATTAACTCACATACACACATATATATAGAACTGTAAGAATTCCACGGACGAATCCCATAATCAGCGTACCAGACAAATGTGTTGGAGGGATTCAGGATTGCAGCAGTTACGTTCATTCGCGGTGTTGGAGTCCCAGGAATGGCGTTCTGGCACGATTCAGGATCGTCAAGACGCAACAGTCAGGTGGATCCGCGGCGTTGGAATCCAGAGAACAGTGTTTTGGCACGCTGCATGGTCTTCAAACGGTTGTCTTCCAACGAGGCAGTTCCCTCAGTGGGAATGAGCCGTTGTAGGGGCCTATGAAAAGGGAGCTTGAAGGGAGGGTCTATTCCAATTTCGTTGATGACTCTTGGGTTTACACTGGTCCTCCTCCTCCTCCTCTTCGTCCTTCTCCTCCTCCTCCTCCACCTTCTGCTGCTCCTCCCGCTCCTCCTCCTCCTCCTCCTCCTCCTCCTCCTCTTCCTCCTCCTCCTCCCCTTCCTCCTCCTCCTCCACTTTTCCTCTTTATAACTGATTCCGCCCTGTCGTACCCGAGGCTGGTCGATAGGGTGGGCCAGGCGTTTCAACTGAGACTGCCTCACCGCTTACGATCCTGGCTTAGAGTTCGGAATAACTTCACGGATGGAGGGCGGGTCGCTTTCAACATGTGGCTCTCGCCTTATCGCTGCGTGCATTCGGCTTAACATGTCGCAACAGTTGAGAGTCTGTCGTTTTCAAAATGTGGTTCTCGCCTTAGCGCCGCACGCGCTCGTCTTTAAAAACTGACAGGGCTTCACGGAGGGAGGGCCCGTTTTCAAAATGTGGCTCGCACCTTAGCGTCGCGCACATTCGTCCTCAAAACTGTAAGATATTCACGGATGGAGGTCGGCTCCTTTTCAAAATGTGGCTCTCGCCCTAGCGCCGGGCGCATTCGTCTCAAGAGTTTGCAACAGTTTCTAAGATTCTCATGGCTCACGTCCGAGAAATGGTGCTGCGGCACGATGTCGGAATGTCAGGGCGCAAAAACCATGTCGATTCGTGTTGAAATCCCAAGAATGCCTTTCTGGGACGATTCAGGATCGTCAGGACGCAACGGTCACGGTGAAATCCCAGGAACGGTGTTCTGGCACAGTTCCGGATTTTCGAACGGTTGTCTTCCAACGGGGCACTTCCGTCGATGGAAGTGAACCCTTGGAGGGGCCCATGAAGGGGGAACTTGGAGGGATGCTTTCCTGCAGTATTGATGGTGATATCTTGGGTTCACACTGGTCCTCCTCCTCCTTCTCCTCCTCCTCCGCGTCCAAAACTGCATCGACTGTCCCACCAGCGGCGCCGCCGAAACCGGCGCGCCGCGCGCGCCGCCGCGACCAGGCCGCGGGGCGCTCACAGCGCGAAAGCGGGTCCTTCTGAGCAGGCGGCGCGGGAATGGCCAGCCAGCTCCCCCGCCACGTTTTGGCGGCCCGAAGCGTCGAAGCCGACAGAACGGGCAGAGGCCAGACCACCACAAAATCCACACCACTCACCCCAAGCGCCGACGACGACACGGCAAACGACGACAACGACGGCGACGACACGACATGGAGGACGGACCGCCCTGCACGCCCTCCAGATCGGGGAGCCACGGGGTGGAACCTGGCCCGAGCTGGGGACTGCGTGCCCGACGATCCCCTGGGAAGGGGACCCCGCTTTGGGTGCCAGCCCAGGGCGGCGACTTTTTCCCCGACGGCCCGGCGCTCCATGCCTGCACCAGTTGGCACATTTGCCCGACACGCGGCTTTAGTCTCTCCTGCTCATCCTCATTCTCCTCATCCTTATCCTCATCTTCATCCTCATCCTCATCAAGCTCTCCTCCTCGCCCCTCTGCGTCTCCTCCCGCTGCTTCTCCTCGGCCTGCGCCTCCTACTCATCTCCCTTCTCCTCTTCCTGCTCCTCCTCCCGCTCATCCTCCTCTGCCGTTTTCTTCTCCTCCTCCTCATCCTTCTCCTCGGCCTCCTCCTCCCCTGCTCCTCCTCTCCCTCCTCCTCCTCCTCCTCCTCGTCCTCCGCCTCCTCATCAACAGCAGCACCACTATCACCACCACCACCACCATCACGATCATCCTCATCATCACCACCACCACCACCACCACCATCATCATCATCATCATCATCATCATCATCATCATCATCATCATCATCATCATCATCATCATCATCATCATCATCATCATCATCATCATCATCATCATCATCATCACCATCACCATCACCATCACCATCAACATCACCATCACCATCACCATCACCATCACCATCATCATCATCATCATCATCATCATTATCATTATCATTATCATTATCATTATGATTATCACCATCATCAGCAACTTCATCGCCACCACCATCATCATCATCACTATTATCATCACCATCATCATGATCATGGTCATTACCATGATCATCACGATCATCATCATCGTCACTACTGCCACCATCATCATCATCACCATCATCATCATCATCATCACCAGCATCATCATCGCCATTATCATCGTCGTCGTCATGGTCATCGTTATCATCATCATCATCATCATCACCATGATGGTCATCGTCGTCGTCGTCGTCACCGCCGTCATCGCCACCGTCAGCAGCAGCGTCATCAGCATCAGCGTCATCAGCATCAGCGTCAGCATCAGCATCATCATCATCATCCCCATCACCACACCATCACCATCACCATCACCATCACCACCATCATCATCACCATCACCATCACCATCCTCATCCTCATCCTCATCCTCATCATCATCATCATCATCATCATCATCATTATCACCATCATCATCACAATCGCCCCCATCATCGTCATAAGCAGTAACATGCATCAGCATCACCGTCCTCGGCATCACCATTCTCATCCTCATCCTCATCCTCAAGCTATCAGGGTCGTCGTCGTCGCCATGACGGTAAATCGTATCACCCACGTCGTCGTCATCACCATCACAATCGTTGCCAGTATGACATGCGCCTCGTCCACGAATCACTTCTCCTGGTTATGTGCTCATCATCCTCATCACCATCATCATCATCATCACCATGACGACCATCACCATCATCATCACCATCATCATCAGCGTCATCATCATCATCATCATCATCATCATCATCATCATCAGTATCATCATCACCAACATCAACATCATCACCAATTCTGCTCAACAAAGACCCAACTCATCCTCATTGTCCTCCTCTTCCTGCTCCTCCTCCTTTTCCTCCTCCTCTTCTCTCCTCATATTCCTTCTGCATCCGCTCCCACTCACTGCGTCTCCTCGTCCTCATCCTGCTCCCACGTACCGCGTGTAAATCTCGGTTTCCGTCAGTCTCCCGGCCTGCTCCTCTCCGCATCCTCATCACCACTTCCATGTGCACAACACAAGCAGCAATGCGCCCATCACCATCATACTCGTCAGCCATATCCGCATCGTCGGTGCCACAATCACCACCACAATCGTCATCATGCATGCACATTCGATCATCCCTTATACGGGACACCATTCTCATCATTACCATCGTCGTGAGCAGCTGCCGCCATTAGCGGCATCATCATCATCATCACCATCATCATCAACGCCATCAGCATCGTCATCATCATCATCAGCAGCATCAGCATCGCCATCAACAACATCATCAGCATCATCATCACAATCATCACCATCATCATCATCATCACAACCATCACCATCATAGCATCATATATTCATCATCACCATCACCATTATCATCATCATCGTCATCATCATCGCCATCAGCATCGTCATCATAA